ATATAGCTCTGCCAAAAAAAAGGCCTTCCATGTCTCTTAACATATCCTTGGCAAGAGGCAGATTTTGTATTTCATCAACTATCAAATAAATTATTTTTGAGGACACACTGGGCTTTTTTATACCTATCGAAGATGTGAGCCAGCAGTGGGATGAGTTTATGACTCCCAACTCCCAATATCCTGTAGAAATGGGCATTTTCAGTCTTTGGAACCACAGGAAGACAACAGGCTGACTAATAATGAACCATTTGCTATATGATTTTATTTACCTTTTGCCCTTTGATTCATGGAATTCAATGAACTGCTCAATACATAATAACTAAACTAAACAATCCCCCTCAAAGTTAAAATAAAGTTATTGTTGAGGAGGACTACAATTTGATTTTGAGAGTCTTTGATATTACATGATGGACAAACGAGCACTACAGGCAATCTACATTGATGGGTTCCTTTCTGGAAAACCTTTAGCCTCTTAAATTATATGTTAAATCTTGTTTGTTCAGCCTTCTTTTTGGCTTGCTTTAATATTCTACCCTTGGGTGGAGGTTTCATAAAATCCCATTTAATGAGGAAAGTTATCCTTGTGACCAAAATTAATCTGAGACGTTAGTGCATGTATTTTTTATTGCTTCTTCTATGAGAATGTACTGTACATGCTGGTAAACTTATACCACTTCCAAATAGAGATCAAGTCTTCAGTGAAGGAGAAGAGATTTATTTCCTTCTTTCCAACTGGAACCTGCTATAAGAAACAGAATTGCCAAGTTATTACTGGCAACTATGAACCTAACAAGGTTTAAGGTGTTCTAGTCTTAGTCCTTTAATTCTTTTATCTTAATTTCATTTTTCCTCTTTTGTTTTTCTTTGTTTTATTTCATTCTCTTTTCTTCTAATCCATAATTTTAATTAGCAGTTATAAATAGTGACTTTATTGCTCATTTGAGCCTGCTTCCATGGGTTATTTTAGTGTTGTATCTACTATGCTGGTCATTGACTGCAAATAGATAAAACGGCTAGATTAGTTGCAAAGTATCCTTTTTTTGGAAACAGTGACATATTGATAAATATTGAATAGAAATAACCACTTTCTTAGTAAAGGAAGATATGGTATAAATATATAAAATAATAATAAAAAACCTTTGATCTGTATTCATTTTCCGGTGCTGTCAAGTGTCATAATGAATGTCCAAAACCTCGTGGCAGTTTTCTATCTTGATAAACCACTATCCAGCTCACAACAGTAATCAATGTGTTGAAAATGGCTGAAGTTAATGATGCAGAAAATAGCAGCAAAACAGGTTTCCTTTCGACTTATCATTAAACTAATACAATGATCATATATGCATGAGATGACCAAGCTGTCACTGAATTCCTATACTTTACATTTCATTAAGGGCATCATCTGACTAATTGAGAGTTTCTTTATTGACTTTATGGTGAAATGATACAGTCACTAAGGAGATGTACAAAGAAAGTTACTTTTCCATATGTCATGTTTCTGACAGTCAGGATCATGCAGAATTTAAACCAAGAATAAAAGATAGTAAGAAAATAAAATATTAAAGAGCGCTTAAGAGATCAAATTGTACAGGTAGTCATTGAGTACAATTTAGCCCCAAATTTTTATTGTTAAGTGACACAGTTGTTAAGTGAATTTTGCCCCATTTTACAACCTTTCTTGACACAGTTTGTTTATTTATTTATTTATTTATTTATTTATTTATTTATTTATTTATTATTTATTTATTTATTTAATTTTTATACCGCCCCCTCTCCCGAAGGACTCAGGGCGGTGAACAGCCAAAATTAAAAAACACACAATACAAACATTAAAATACTATAAAAACGAAATTAAATTTATCTTTGGCTTCCCCAATTTAAAACCCCTTACCCATAAAATTCCCCAATTAAAATATTTAAAAGATTTTTAAAAGTTGTTAAGTGAATCACTGCAGTTAAGTGTAGTAACATGGTTGTTAAGTGAATCTGGCTTCCCTTTCTTGTAAAAGCTTGCAGAAGGTAATCACATAGCCCCAGAACATTGCAACTGTCATAAATATGAACTGGTTATCCAAATTTTGATCATGTGATCATAGGAATGTTGCAGCGATTGTAAGCGTGAAAAATTATTCTAAGTTCGCTTTTTTCAGTGCCGTTACAACTTCAAATGGTCACTAAACAAATGATTGCAAGTGGAGGACTATCTGTATATGTGACACCTAAATTTCTCATAAAACAAACTCAATGGGTTTTTAAATTTCAATTTGTAAAATGACTCAAAGTTATCAATTGTGCTTTTCAGGCTAAAGAACAAGGAGTTTCCATGGAGTCTTAACTATTCCTTTCCAGAATGAAGGATTCTTTGGACTAAACTTCAGTACTGAACTCCAAATACTATTGTTTGCCTGCATCCCTGAGCTTTATTTTGTTTTATGACATATCAAATCAATACATTCCACATTTATGGCAAAAGAAAGCTCATAGAGGCACATTGCTACAGACTCCTGGATGTTCCAGTTATTGAAAGAGTTTGATCTGAACAGAGAGGTCACATCAAGAGCATGCTAAAGAAAGAACATGAGGAATGCAAATCTTGTTCATTGCAGTTTAGCAGAACTTGTTTATGCTTTCTTGAAGGGGTAAACACCACGCTCGACCTATTTGCTGGAATTAACCATGATCTAGGAGGCCATATGGATTTGCCAGATGGCCTGATGTAATTTAATGGCATTTATTCTAACTATGAAGTAAGTGATAAACATAATTAACATTCCTTTAGCTCCTTACTGGATGTCTTTTATTAGTTTCATTTTTTCCCTAATATTGAAAGGTAAGTTAATACCTTGTTATGGAAACACAGATGCCTGCTAATTACCTCGGAAGGTTGAATGCTCCTGAAGCGGAGATCCTCTGCTAGATTCTTACTTACCTGATGACCCCACTGTGAAGATTAATAAGCAAAGCACTAAATCATAATGAGTGTGTCAGATCTCAAATGCTTTTCAGATTCTCTTAATTAGTATTAAGAGATACAGAGTGTGCCCACAACATTTCCAATATATCTGTCCTGCTTTGCCATAAATAAGGCATTTTGCACCATATGTGCTGCCTGCTTTATTCCAAGCTATAGTACATCAAATAGTTGAAATCAAACAATCAGATTTTGATAAGAAAAAAGCCCCACAAAGAAGTAACTTTCATTATTTGAATAGTTTACTTATTTCATCTTCTGCCAATGATTGTTTAATGACTTTATTTCACAGGAAGCTATTTTGTGGTAACTATAACTTCAAAGAATGTTTACTTTTGGCAAACTTACCTGCTGCTAGCAGTTAAAATCACATGATTCCAGCAAGATAACAAAAGAATTTTACACAGCTTAATTGTGCTACAATTCCTATTTTATATGTACAGTGTAGAAGGTACTTCTAATTTCATTTATGAGATGCAGAATTTATTTTGAACAGAGTTCAAATGTCTGCACTATAATATGAATTTCCAAAGAAGAGTTATCCTAGTATTTTCAAGATGTTAGGTATCTTAAGAGATGTGAAAACATTCTAATAATCTCCACAGTCTTCCACAATCAAAGGACCCATCGAAATCCCAGTTTATTGTGTGAAGTGGAAATTATCAAAATGAATAGTCAAGATTTAATTTACACAGGCAATATAAACTATTAAATAAAATGGTAAATTAGTTTAGCTGCAATGGGATTTCCACATTAGAGAATGGAAAACAATATTGGATACTGATCTCCTTCTACCTTAATACAGCAGTTTCAGAGATCTTCCCAGGTAAACATTAGTGGAGGAAAAGACTGGTAAACAGATGGACAAAAAAGATGCGAGATCTAATGATAGGTTGCCCTTCTCTTGGAGTCCTATCTCCTTCCTTGAAATAAAGATTCCAAGAACTCTTAAAGCTTTTTTGATGTTGCCCAAAGAACTTTAGAATATCCTAAATTACATCCTGATTGTCAGCCTCCGCTTTGACTGCTTCAGCTGCCATAAGAAACAGGGGGGCGAAGGGGGGGAAGGGCGAAACGAAACCGATTCTCCAAAGGAGCTGTCAGACCAACCGTCATTACATTCCTGATGGATGACGTTGCCAGACGTGATTCCACCTGACCTTTGGGAGACCTTTGGATTGGATAATGGACGATGGACAAGAGGGGGGGAGATGCTTTCTACATGCAATTTCGCGCGTTTTGCTTAGTTCCAGCTTTACCTGGGTTGCGATCGCTTCATTTTCAGTAAAAGTACTAATCTCTAAAAAAATGGAGTTTGGGTTATTCTTTCTTGGATTTTGAAGGAAGCAACCCTGACACTGATATCCTATTCTAGTTCCATTTGCACATAAAAATGTGTGGTTTACTTTACTGTATGCATGATATTTCCATTCTTGTTAGCCCCTTTTTAATCTCCTTTGCTCAACAAAACCAATGCTTTCAAATTTAGGGTTCAATATTTTGTGATATTTTGATTCTTTCTAACAAGTGTACTACGTTGATTAAATTTGGATTTATAAATTTATTTTCCCAGACAAAACATTCTACGTAGGTTTTTCCTCCTTTTTTCCCCCTCAAAGAAGTTATTGGTGGGGTTGAAAAAGAGTAGGAAAAAGCACCAGCTATTCTCCCAAACAGCACAATTTGATAAACAACTCTCTACAATAAATAGAGATTATTTCTGGCTAAGCAGGTATAGGATTACAGTCTAAAAGCAAGGTATTTTTCTTTTTTCAAGTTGAGGACACATTGAGTTTTTCAATGGTATAATAGAAACCAAAGTAAGTGAGACAAATGCAGATAATTTATATTTCAGTCATATTTAAACTAGGTGGTAAATTTTGCAATTATTTTTGAGGTACACAACCAAAGCATTTGGGTGATGGAGCCACATAGCTCAGTGGCTTTGGGTTGTGTGCCAGAAAACCTAATAAGTGAATTTTGTTTTATTTTGACCCCATATCAGACAAAACAAGAAGTTTTCTGGTACCTCCTGCATACATAACAGCCAACATGATTGATGATATCCACGCTATCTCGCTATATGATGTGCCAAAGATCTCTTGTATCTCTTTGAAGAACACTGTGATGGCTTTAGGGAATGCATAGGAAAATCCAATGGAGATGAAAGCTCCAAAGACGACGACCCAACCCCATCCTCCATCAGGGGGAGCATATTGCGGTGCTGTTGTTGAAGGTGGCATTTCTTTTTTTTCTTGTAACTATGCTGTAGGGAGAAATAAAATGTTGATATTGTGTTTTAAATAGCTGTTTTCCTTTATAGCACACAGTCACTGAAACTTAATTTCAAAAAGCTGTTATTTCCCACACATGAATTGACAATTCATTGTTAAGTTGCCATCACTGTATTATTAAGTACAACTATTTGTCTATAATAGTCAAGGATGCCTTCAAGAGTGGGAATAGATGAATCTTGGCAACTGCTAAAATCCTTCTTAAGTAGGATGTTACTTTTGCAGGTCATTGATCCACAGTACCAAAATATTATTTAGCAATTAATCACAGGGGATAAAGGGATCCTTTTATTCTGCTAATACCAATCTACCTTAATTATTTCTGGCAAAGTAAGATTGGCTTATTCAATAGGATTTTATGAATAGACAATATAGCCTACCATCTCAGCCATTGCTTTATGTTTCATTTTAAAAATATCTTTATTTCAAAGATAATGATCAAACACAGCTCAAACAATATTGCATTAAGAGACTATGCAGTAGCAACTAATATGAATTTCCAAGTGTATTTGTTGAACCATTAATAAACTTCTATGTTATTGCATTGTTATGCAATCCAGGGCAGTGTTTCAATATATTACATTAAAAAAAATAACAATGCCATAAAGAACCATGGAAAACCTGGTTTTATATATCACACTTTGGAGCTCTGCAATGCTTTCTATTTGAAAGAAGATAAGTGATTTGGAATGCACATGGACATATACTTTGCATTTGTCAGAAAGCCACAAAGCGGATCTAGAGATCTAACTCCAACTGTTGCAGTTAGCAACCATAGCCAATGGCTTACAAACTGAGCAAAATAACAAGTTTAACAAAGGAAGGAAGGCTAAACAAACCATGGCTTACTTTGCTGTTTGTGAACCAAGTTGCTAAATTCTTATGAAATGAGAATTTCATGTTGCTTTCATAATGTAACAAATCTCTTGGGAAAGATCAATGCACACAGATTTTCTACTCAGACAAGTGCTCATAACCAATTTTTTTGGAACTCCCCGTGACCTGAAGAAGCATATTACCTCATAATTATTTAAAATAGAAAGTAATTTACAACATAATTAAATCTGAAGATTCTTGTCTCCACTGTTCTGTTTTTTCATATCAGTAATCTGCAAGTTATTTGATAAATACTAATATGTGGTTTTAGTACAAGGTGCCATTTAGACTAAGTGATAATATTACAAAAATATTTTCTGGTTTCTGTGATGCCTACAAAACATATGCACAAAATGTGAAATGCACTTTCTCATAGTTGATTAAGTCTTTTGATCAGTGGCACCCTGAACTTATTTGGCTTTTATTAATCAGCTCCACTATTTCAACTTGTCTTGTGAATCTGTAAAGCCATCAGCAGTCAAATATTGATAAACACTTTCAAAATTGGGTATACATATTTTAATTTTGATACCAAATTCTCCATTTTGTATCTACATATTACAAATTTTTGTTACTGATTTTGGGCTTTCAGGATTGACTACCTGAAACAAGGAGACAGGAATTAGGAAGAATAGCAATAGGAGTTTCATAATCCCATTATATAAAATATACCTGTTGTTGATTCCAGGATTAAAGTGCAACAGTTGTGCAACTATTTCTTGACATACACAAGTTTAGCAATTTTACAATAAGGGACATATTTGAAAATAAATAAAAAATAAAAAAATGGAAAAGTCCAATAAATATATTTATGTTTCCAATAAAATAAATAGGTATTGTATCTTCTTCTTTAGATAGGTACTCTAGTACTGAAGGGTACTAATAGTACTGAATAGTGCAATATGGCCAGAGTACTATTAATATTACTATGTATATTATAACAGTACAAAGTCAATATCAAAACCTATTTTTCTTAGAGATAAATATGTGGAATACATTTTATTGAATCATTACCATTTATGTTAGGGTGAATTCTCACAGACAAGCTAAATTGAAGAGGGTTAGTTATACATAAGGGCTAATTCACTTCTATGAAGATTCAAGTGAAATACCTACTAAGCTGCTTGGTAAAGCAATGTGCATTCTCATTTCTGAGAGTGGAGCAAGTTTATTACTTTGAATTATTCTCCTTTATATTCCTCCTATCCTTCTGCTCCAGAGCTCCCCATCCGGCTTCTAGGCTTGCCAACTTTGGCAAACATTGGGGGAATCTCTGCCTGCACAAAACTGGCCAACCTTTCTACACACCAAAACTTTCTACACACATTCAGGCAGGACAATTTCAGTGCTATCCTGAAGGCTGAATCTCACACTAAAGGCACAAAGTGGTTGAAGGAGGCACAATTTGCTTAGTGGAGGTACATTGTGTTATTTCTTTGTTCTAACAAAGCAAATCATACAACTTTTGTGACACTAAAGGAATTTTGAATGTCTTTGAATATAGCCATCCACATTTTAATACTGCTTTTAAAAGCCTTTCTTCTGTCATCACCACAATGTAGAATGTGTCTGCTTGTGATAGCACTCTGCTTGTGAAATATCTACCCTGAAGGTAGTTTCTGGTGCCTTGTGTGAGCTTTTCAGTACCAGGTGTGAAGCTTTTTATATTTCTAGAATCTTAAATTGCAAATTTTTAAGTTGACTTTTAGATCCAGCACATTTGTTTTGCTCTGCACAGTTTAGCAACTGTTTGTGGGGGGTGGATAGGAGGAAGTTTTTTCCTCCCATGTTAGTATTCTCTGTACTAGCAAATAAATGAGCTGTTATTATTAAAAAATTCCCTTTATGTCCAGATCCAGAAAAATGATTGCTAATAATTTTTAAATTATATACACAGCTGGCAGCATTTTATGATAGAAGTATTTTCCATATGATTGATGGATAATGATCAGGGACAATAAACATAGCTCTAGGAATGTATGGCTAGTTAGGACGCCAAAATCCAAAAAAGCACAAAGATACTTTAGTTCTCATGATTTTCTGATTTTTTTTTCAAATTTAATTAGATCAAAGACTGGTTTTCACCCCCCCCCCCAAATTTGGCTTTCACTGAGAGCTACTGTTTGTATCAGATAAAAGAATATCATGTGGAAAATTGACATCTGACTCCCCCCCTCCCCCAAGACTACCAATGTGAGAATTAAAACTGTCAGGAGAGTAACACTGTGTGAATCAGTCCATTGGAGCATTCATAGGAATCATCTTTTCTAGTTTCATAATCCCCTGCAGGCTAATGGAAAATATTTTTTTTCTCCTGTTTCCATTGATAGATACGATGACTTCCATTTACTTTGCTAAAAGTTCAGAAGACACCTTGCCTAAATCCCCAGTAATATTGTGAATAATAATTTAAGAACAATTGCAAAATCATAAATGGGCTATCATTGTATTATTTTATTTGAAACCCTCTGATTGAACAGAGCAGTACATGCAAAATATTTTTATTTAAAAGAACAGAAATGTCACTTTTGAACTGTTTGAAGGACAAAAGAGAGAAGTGGAAATGAATTTCACCCTGTTCCTTATCCCAAACAGCAGCTACTGGATGCAAGGATTGGAGGAAATAATAAACACATTTTGGCACATGCTGTTTTGAGCAACTTACAATACTTACAGTATGTTAGATTCTGTACATATATTGCCTGGAGTTTTTCTTATCATGATTGAATACTATGAACACCAGCTGGATCAGGGCAAATAAATGCAATTTGGATCTAACTTGAAAATGTGCAAATGTATGTAGCAAATACAATAGGCCTGGTAGACAAAGGCAAGTAGCAATGTGCACACATATTCTGCCTTTAAAAATGGTGAAAGTGGTGATAAAAAGGTCAGAGGAAAGGTCATGGCAAATAATTCATCTTGATATCATGCACTGTAGATTTTAGTCAATCATAGTCAACCTCTTTTGCAAATGCTTCATTAATATTCCTTGCTTGCCAAGTGACAAAATCAACCCCCAGTGCAATAAATAGCTTGTCAGGAGAAACTAAAAATTCCTAACTCTCTGTCCTTTGGATTTATTAGTTCTATTACGATAATTTCCCAGGTTGAATGTTCATGGGTGCCTTTAGATGTGAAAGTGAAACATCTGGCAAAATTGTCATACAAGCTGAGCCAAGACTACCTTTCTGAACAAGCATTTGGACAGATAATGCACATCACACAATGTAAAGGAAATTAAACACAAATAAAGCACTAGAGAACTAGAAATGTAATTATTAGTTATTTATATTGAGAAAAAAGTACTACATGTAGTCCTTGACTTATGACCATTATACTCATTACTCATTAAGATGTAAAGAAAATGTATGACTTAATATAAAGATGTAGAAGTTGTGATAGATAATAGATAGATAGATAGATAGATGATAGATAGATAAATAGATAGATAGATAGTTAGATAGATGATATAGATGTAATACATAGATATATAATGTAATATAAAGAAACTTTATAATAATAATTTAAAATGCTAATTAACAACAAAGAAACTTAAAACCATTCTAAAATCAAGAAGAGGATACCAGCTAAGTACAAAGACCAACCTTTCCCTGTGGTATACCATGGATTGATGGTATACTTATGGTTATAGTTATATACTTATTATACAACTACTTATGATTCAGCTTCATCAATGGCAAGGAAGGATTTCTTCTCTAATTTTTAATTGTAATGGCTTATACTATGTCTGCTGAATGAACTATTTGATTCAGACTCAATTTAATTTTATGGCAATGATAGTAATGGTAATGTTGATTATTCAAAAGTGTACATAGTCTTCTATGATCTTAATATCAAACGCTCTTGTGAATTCTATGCTATTATCTACCTTGGCCCTTTTAAGCAGTAGCCATATTATAAATGCAATTATTTATGAATTAATGTTTGCATCCCAGGTTGTCAGAAATAGTTTAAGATTAATGCTGACAAAACATCATTTTTTCATTCAAAGATTTTCTGAAAAGCTTTAAAATTGGCCCCAAAATGATCATAGAGATTTTCTATATTTGTTTTAATACAGTTTGCTCACCAT